GCAACCAGTGGCCTTTGGCAAAGGTTTCTGTTGGGCTCACGTGGAAGGACATCTTATATCGGTTTCTAGACGCCTCACATCAACTCAGCCAAACAAGTATGAGTACATTTGTGCATTGCCCCAGAACCCGAGGGGGGGGGGGCCATGGGGGGGCTGACTGGAATGCGTGCAATTCCATCGAGAAACGCGTGCGGTGTTTGTGAATAGCACGGTAACGTGTTCGCCGGTAATCAACTAGTTGCAGCAGCCGAGCACAAGTACATACAGCCCCGTTCGGAAACACCAGTCTTCTTAAGCAAACACATGTCCCCCACAAGAACAGAAGTGCACTGCTCGCAACACTTGTCCGAAACGTAGCCTTGAACAATTCTGCTCTATGCTTGCAGTGTGGCATGGTCCGTCCGAGCAGGCCTGCCGAGTGATCGCTGTGACGAGTTGTTCCTGCGCACGGCATTGCAGTGGATTTGTGCCGCAGAAAAAGTATCCGATTGCTTTAGCTGCCCTAGTTGCGCGGCCGTGTAAGAATTCTGTAGTGAGGAATGACTGGGATAACTCGGAAAATCATGCCACTGAAGAGCAGGAGGTCCGTAAACATCCGCAAGAAGCACAAAACACATCAAAACACTCACATTTTGCCCAATGATCATAGTGGACAAAGAGCTTGCAAGCACAAGTTTCCATGCCGCACTGGTTTCCAGGATGTAGGAAGCATAACAAAGGGGTGTCTCTGTTTTTGACGGTGCCTTTTTGTTGGGTCGTTTGTTAAGGGAAACAAAAGCACCCGCACCCAGTTCAAATCAAGGGTTACCCTTGTTTTGACACAAACCCATATCCCCATATTCCGGGAACCTGGAGCTTTGCGATTTCCACACGCCTCAGGTCGTTCTTGCAAAGCGGGCACGACGATGCTTTCACAAACCACCTTGGCGCGCGTGCCTCTGGCCGATGGAGGTATCTCGCAATGGTGAGCCCCCCGTTGCCTGAACTTTCTGAAAAAGCAAGCGGTTGCCACATTGAGGGGACCAGATTGAGACGTGTCCCAATGTGGACCGTGGGCCTCATGCCAAGTCCAGGGGGATTGGCAAGCTATTGCAGAAGACAATCAGCGTATTTCCACTGGTTAAGGGAACTTGATGGGCAATGTTCCTGGTTCACATCGGCATCCGTACAAATGGATGCAAGAGGAAAACAGCTAAACCGAATACGAAATGATTCTTGACCGCCCTTGCTTGCAGCAAGCCCTGGAACGTACTTGGCCACAACACATCCGTCAACACTCATAACAATGTTTGAGTTGCCTCGAGGACGGACACAGCACTCCAGCAGGGAAACCAGGCTTCAGTTCTTGTTGGTCATCTTGAGTAGCACTTTGACTGGTCAGCACAAGCGAGCTGCGCTGTTCAAAATGGGGGGCTCCCTCACCCCTCATTGCCATCCCTGGGAAGCTACCACTGCATAAAGACTAACGATTGATTTCGAACGACCCACTGAAGCTACTTGCGCTCAAGTGGACCGCTTGCATCTCAGCCACATGTCGATGCACTTCGCGTGAAAGATGTGCGTGCAGTCCAGTACCCGGCAAATGTCCACTCCAACTTGGAAGCCCTGAACGCGCGGCCAGGCGCCAGCATGGGGTTGAACACATGGCATCCGATTTAACCTTGATTTACAAGCAGTTGGATGGTGAAACGAAGACAATCCCTGGCAACGCTGTGCAACAAACTCAAATACCCCCAACCCGAGCATGCGAACTTCACCCGTGCGTAGCGCAGTGTGGAGCTGCTCGTGTTGCTACATGGAACGCACTGGAGAAACATTGCCGCTGGTTGTCTATGGAACCTCTGGCGATTCTCACAACTCGCAAGTGCAGGCGTTTGCATTTTCAAATGCCTCCAACTTAAAGAAAGGCAAACAAACCGTGCATAATGTTGCCCCGCTCGCCGGAAATTGCTTGTCATATGCCTGTTGGACTATACCAATGATGGAAAACTGAGATTGAACTAAGTCACTACATAAGTCCCGCCAGCTACAAACAAAAGGTAAGGTGAGAGTAGATTTGTTCAGCTGTCCGACAACCGATGGGGCTCAGAATCTGTGTTTGGTGTGGGTGTCTGTGCCGGTCATTGTGCTTGAGCATTATATGGTGCTTCCAGTTGCTTAAGCCCCCTGGCAAAACTACATATTTCCAGCAGTGATAGATTTCTTTTAAAACCAAAAACGGAAAATACAACACATTCTTAAGCAAATGGAATGATGTTGAATGTTTCTGGGATTGTTTGCTGCCAAACTCCAAGTGATTGCTGGGCTTGTCCAGTACTATGAGATTATATGCCCCCAGACCGACGCATGTGCATGATTCAGCCAGGTGAGACAAATGGCCCTGGCGCCAGCTCTGTTGCAACGCCGAGCAGGCACCTGTGATTGGGACATAGACCTCTAGCAGTAGCTTCCAACAGGCATCACAGAGCCCATCGAAAGACAGTTCCTCGTGTGGCCCGTTTACACATCAGCCCAAAGGGAAACTCACTTGAACTTGGCAGGCACCAGACGTTGAAAGCCACCTAAAAGCGGACATTTAACAAGAGCCAGGGATTACAACCCAGTAAGGGGCCCTGCCGTCCACCCCGCCTCTCGACAAATCGCACAGCACTCGATCTGGCTCATGCCAGTCCAAACCACCAGCTCACCTCGGCAACACGCCAGGCTGTGGACTTCATCGGAAATAGCATCTCGTTGTGACGCAACAAACCAATTTATCCACTCCCTTCAGTTACTGCTACTTCAACTGCTCCTATTACGATTGCTATCGCTACTACCGGAACTACTACCAGAGTGCTGCTGCTACTACTACTACTAGTACTAGTACTAGTAGCAGTAGTAGTAGTAGTAGTAGTAGTAGTAGTAGTAGTAGTAGTAGTATTGCCCGACTAGGTACCTAAGTCTTTGGCTGTTGGATGGCATCCTGGGTGCCACAGGAAGAAGACATGCTGCACATATGGTGGTTGATCTAAATTCCTTTGTCTCGAAACGGCCATTCTTCGCGAATATAAAAGTTACTTTCGCGAATCTTTCGCGGATTCATCGCCGTGCTCTTTTCATTTCTCGAGTCGGAGAATCGCAGCTTTTAAGTGCCAGCGTTGTAAGCGAAATGACGATTTCCCAACTCCAGCTGTAAAGTCGCAACTTTTCATCACAGGGGTAGAACATGACATGCGCCGGCTGGAAAGTCGCAGCTTTTCGTTCGCCGTGCAACTCCAGCTTGAAGTCGCAGATTTCCAGTACCAAGCTAGTATACTGACTGGATCGGCGCTCAGACTATACCTCCCCTTGCAATCGAAGCCTGCGCTTTCGCGCGGGCTTTCGCGGATCTTTCGCGGAACTTTCGCGAAAAATCACCCACGTTTCAGAGCGGAAAGCCACCGACTAACACCCACAGACACACATACACAGGCTTGGAGCACTAACCAGCCAAGCAGGGTATCAAACTCTAGCCTCACCAGGCTTAATCAGCGCAACATCAACAAAGTGTTTTAATCTGAATAGAAGGAAGGCTCAGCAGAAAAGATGAACGGTTCCACATATCATTGATTAACCAGATACAGTTACGCAAAACTTTCGCGAGAAAAAAAGTTACTTTCGCAACTCCATCGCGAATCTTTCGCGGAGCTACCTCAACCAACACCGATGGTCGCCGAATACTAAACTCCTTACAAGGACCTTTAGAACGACTCCCATATTGAAACAGCTGTTTGTTTTGAAAAGGCTCGGTAACTCCAAACTGGCCACAATTTCTGCCGTCATAAAATTGTCCATTACCGCTCCACAAACAGCCACCACCCCAAGCATACCTCCAGTGTTTGGTCTATCTGTCTTCCCGAAGGAGCTGTGGTTGAGAAGTCTGCCAAGGGGACCAGGGTGAGATGCTAATGCCGCCCAACCCATGTCTGCCCTGGGGCGATCTTACAACGCGGTGTAAGCCATGCATTCCAAACATCCCAACTGGCAGACTAGAAATGAACCAACCGTCCAGGGTTTGTAAAATCACCTTTACCCGAAAGGGGTAAGGGATCCCTCTGCTCTCTGTTATATGAACACCCCTCTCCTCAAAAGGGGTATGTGCCCGTTGCAAGCTGCATTGATAACCACTGAGCCAGGTGTATCAAGACGGGGTATGCACGACGACCATGCCTTGGCTGTCTGAAAACTTCAAACAAGCAACTGAAAAGGCAACGCGCTTGACACCCCGGCTTGAGCTTGGTCCATTCACGAGCCAGGCTTCGTCAATGCAATCGAAACCACTTCCAGGCGGGAAACAAGGTGCAATCTGCAAGTTCAACTTAGGCTTGCGTTTGGATCAGTAGCCGAACTACAAACACCAGGGCCCTTTTTTTCCCCACCACTCCTTCCCGAGAAACCTGAGCCCAGTCGCTCTTCCGCACGATACCCTCGCACATGATGCCTCCTCGCTTCATGGCTCCCACACAATTTACCCAAGACAGATAGCGAGAAAAAGGGGAGACGATGACGCAGCTGGGACTGGCACTGGACTTGACGTGCTCTGTTGACTCGAGCCCTTGAGCCAGGCACATGCAGTTCATTTGGTGGGTCAAAGTCCCCTAGCCCCAGTTACCCGGGACCCAATCCCCACTAACATAGGTTCTAAAATGGGTGGTGCACCTACCCCAAAATGGTACTAAAACGGTTTTGACCCACAGCCATTTCCCTCTGACCCGGCTGCATGCAGGGGTCAAGTCGTCACACAAAGCAAAGCCCCCGCGGGTAGAAGAAGAGACGCGCTTTGTGGCGATTGAATGAAACTTTCTGCGGCCGGCTTTGGGCTGCTCTCACCCGGAACCCAGGCAAGCCACCATGTCACAATGAAAAGCTCACAGGAAAAGTGCACATTAAGGGCCAGACTTGGGTTGTGGGATAAAATACACCAAGTCATGAATCGTGAAATCATATGAGGACAATGTGGAACAAAGAAGCTCTCATTTAGGAACTGGTCAGTGCGTGTGGCATTGATTGGGTGCCTTTGGAACCTGTCTGTACTCTGCTCGAGAGCGACTGGCCCTCACTGCAAGTGCCTGCGAACGCTGCAAACTGGACCCTTGGGTGGGTCCTGATTCCTGATATTCAACAAAGAATAGGCCCTTTTGACACCCTCAAAGCAATTCAGGGCGTTGTACGGGGAACCACGGCTCCTCCATACCAGGGCTTTTGGGGTGCTCCGAGTGGATTGACCCAACCAGACAGCTCCCTCTTTACAGCTGCTCAAATGTTAATTGCCCATGCACAATAACAAGAGTGATAACATTATCTAACAACCAGTCAATTAATATAAATCATGTTGGTACCACCACTCATGATACATTGTAACAATCATAAATAATAGCAACTACTAGACAACATGATAAAATAACCACGTGCATGAATGAATGAATGAATGAATGAATGAATGAATGAATGAATGAATGAATGAATGAATGAATGAATGAATGAATGAATGAATGAATGAATGAATTAATGAATGAATGAATGAATGAATGAATGAACAAATGAATGAATCAATAAATGAATGGATGGATGAATGAATGACTGAATGACTGAATGGCTGAATGAATGAATGACTGAATGAATGAAGTAATTAATGAATGACTGAATTAATGAATTAATGAATGACTGAATGACTGAATGACTGACTGACTGACTGACTGACTGAATGCATGAATAAATCAATGAATCAATGGATGGATACATGGATCAATTAATGAATGAATGAATGAATGGAGCAATGAATGAAGGAATGAAGGAATGGATGAACGAATGCATGAAGGGATTAATAATTGAATACACATAGTACTTACATATAAATTTCAGTACATAATAACCAGCTAAATAACCCTTAAAACACTACAACACATAAATGACAAAATGCATGAATCAAACCCAACAGCAAACAACAAACAGGAACACCGCAAAATCAAGGCATGACATGACTAGTCACATAAACATGTAAATTCGGGATAATAATACCTACTAATAGATCATTCCAGTGACACAACAAAATAATACATCAACAAACACGACACATGACGAAACCAACCACCTCAAACGGTGCTGCACAAGTTCATGTCATTAACTGGCATCCTCACTCCATTGGAGCGCTCCTGCCAAGTTTTGCCAAGCAACCGCCACAGACGTTGCGAGACCAACTCTGAAACCGCTTGGCACACATGGTGTTCTTTCATGCAGCTTTGGGATTGGTACATTTGTTTCTTGTTCAGCTATTCTATTTGGCGATGTAATTTGGTCGTGGTGTTGAGGTTTCGTATGCTTTTCCCATTTTCCATTCCAGTTCAACTCCCCAAGCCACCCGCATCCCCAGCAAATCATACTTCGCGTAGAAACCTCGTGATGGTAAGAAACACTTTGTGCTTCAAACCACCCAAGCCTGGGTCAAAGGGGTAAACACTGCACATATGTTCGGTGAACTCCAAGAAGTCATCCAAAGAGGAGACACATCCGCACAACACAACACGACCCTCGTACGGCTGACGCAAACAGTCCTTCCGAAGCGACTGATGAGTGAAAAGAAGAAAGCAACACCCAAGGAATCTGACAAATTCAAGGCCAAGTCCCGACAAATCCAAGGCCAAGTCCCGATTTGCGAGTTTCCCAAGAGTCCATGCTCCAATGTGTTTGCGCTGGCTGGCTCTCATCTCTCCGCGCGCCTCAACGACTCTATACGCTCTCCGCACCGAGGGCAGGAGGCCTGGCGGTCAAGACTGCGGGTGCAGTGGATCGCAGGCAAGCCACGGCAGGTAAGGCATTTTAGTCTTCACAGGGTTCCTCTGGCATCCGGCCCTCCAGACAGGCGGACCCGTCGATCGGAAAAGACACTTGCGAGTCCACACTTCTTCAGATTCACATGGAGCCAATGAAACCATCAGTTGCACAGAAATCTCTTGGGCCCTTGTTGGGTTCCAAGTTCATCGAATAGGCGCAGATCGGTGCGTTTTTGACCGCATGGCTTCTCTCGCCTTGGGGTTCTCCATCATCTCACTGGCCACACAGTAGTAGCAGAAGACCTGGGTCTATGTCGGTTTCTTGCTAAGCAGAATACAGAGCCCAAAGACAGGTTGGGAAAACCACAAGGGTAAAACATGTCAAAAAAAACAGGGGAGCAAAGCAAACAAACACAGGTTCTGGAAACCCGAGAGGTCAAAGCATAGCAACAAACAACCAGGCAGCCCCTTTTTGGAAGGTCAGCGGAAGCCAAAATGGGCAACGCTTGGAGGCATCCCAACATCCCAACAATCAGACTGGAGGCCCAATGATGAGGAGTATCCGAGCCGAACCAAAAACGACGACAGCAGGTTGCATGATTGTGGGAAGCAACAATTTCCGTGTTACCAAACCTGGCAATCCCTAGCACCACATAATCCCTTGAAATGCCACTAGCAGTCACTAGCATTATCTGCCCACAAAGTATAGCAG